CATTTCTACCCATTCTTTATTTCCACCATCTTCTAATACACTTGCTAATTAGAAAACAAAAAAACATATTCATAAATTATTTTTAAAAAAACGAAATAATAATTATTATTACTAACAAGGTAAAAATGCAAATTCAGTTTCATTCAATTTTTGATCATCATTACGATCTAACAAAAGAAGAATAATAAAATATTAGAAAAGAAAAAAAGATTTTTGAAAGGAAATAAAAACTAACCCATTTGTAAAATAATATCATCAACAATATGTTTATATGAATGACCAGCTATTTCAGGATGACGAAATGCAAGAAATTCATCAATATCAAGTTCATTATCACCACCAACATCAGCTTCTGTCCAACGAAATCGAATTTTCACTAATTCTCGTTGAACTAATAAAAAATAAATATATACAAAAAATTCATTTTTTTAATTTAAATATTTACAATTATTATCAAATGGTCCTTGAACAAAATCAAAAGTATCAGCTTCTTTGACACTAGTGGAATTCATATTGTGAAATTTAACATATAAAGCAAAATATTCATGCCATGTCACTTTACCTAATAAAACAAATCAATCAATGTTAGAACTATGTATATATTGAACAAAAGAAAAACTCTTATGACTATACAAAAGAATTAAAATGAATGCTTGATGATATGAAATTTTCTATCATTTAGATAGATCGAATGTGCATCTATCTACTATTCAGAGGTGCAACATTTGCCGTCAATAAAAAAAAAATCTTTTTCAAACAGAAACATAACTTTAAAAATATCCATGGATTCATTTGGTTTCAAAATTCTTTTTCGAGCACATTATTCTTTTGATGATTTCCCTAAACGCACATTCAAACACACACCTCTACTTCCACTACCAAATAGAAAGTTGTTAGCTGAATTTCTGCGAGATTAAAATGTAAAACACGATGTAGGTGTTGCTTCTAATCACATGGAGATCAGCTATTTCATTGTTGACTGTCTCGATTCCATATTATTGAATAGACAAAATTATGAGTTCTTTACACTACTTTTCATATTCACATGTTCATCTATCTCCAGTATTCGGTAAATTCTGGTATGAAAACGAATAACTTTGGGTAATACGACGTTTCATCTAATAAATTACGAAGTTTTGGAATAAATTAGCAAGAATATCTAATCAGATGTATATGGACATGATTTTGTTGAGCAACTTCACCATAGAAGTTTGTACATTATTTGAAGATGAAACGAGACATATTTGAATTACTTTGACAGAAATATAAAATACATCTCTGATTACGAAATAAAATTCTTTTATTTCTGATAGATGAATAGTTCAGATTTAATGAGTGTTATAGTAATTGATACTGTATCATCTCACACTAATTTCTATTATCGAGTTCAATAAATTTTCATATAATAGGAACTGACTGCTATTCACTTTTGTAAAATGATTCATTTTTCATCCAAAAATTTGCTCAATAACAATTAATATCATTTCATTTAACAGCTGTGCATAAACTCATACAATTAAAAAAAAAATTTAACAAAATGATATAATTTCATGTCTCGTAACAGTTCTGTAATAGCTACATGTAAATGGTACGAATGCATACGTATAGATTACGAAAGAAATCAATTTATTTGTTGCTAAGAAACATACAATACAAAAGAAGTTAAGCGCATAAATAGAGTTATAATTGAATATCAAGAAGGAATGAGCTAATCTATCCGATGGCTTACACTGCTTCTTTTATGTTCAAGTCAAACACAGCAGGCTTCTATGATGTAGGAAGTTTGTTATTTCATATACTTTTATAAACATAAATATTCACTAAAGAATACTTGACTATTATGTATGATAGTTGACAAAGTCGATAAGAACTCGGTTATTTTATTTAGAAAAAAAAACGCATAGATGAATCAGTATTAACTTTGATAATATTAATATCTCAAGCTCGATCATTTTATCTTTAAAAAATATAATTGAAAATAAAAATTCATATTATTTCTTTTTTTTTTCTTTCTCTTACCATCTTGATTTGAATCAATTAATAAAAATAATTGTGAATTTCGATCTTTAGCTTCTTGTATATGTTTATTAACATTTTTTAATACATAATTAAGTAATTCATCTTTTGATACATGTTGATCATGATCAGCATCTGCTCTAAATAAATTAACAACTATGAATTAATTTAATTGAAATTAAATTTTTTAATACTCATTAAATATTTCTTCTAATTTTTTATTTCGTTTGTTTTCATCATTTTGAATATCGGTTTCAAATAATTCATGATTACCCAAAAATATTTCTTTATGAAAATCTGAATTTATCTTTCCATCACGTTCTAATGGTAAACCTTCAATATGTTTATCATCTTTTAGACTATGAATACCAAAATCATGTAAATCTTTTTCTATTTGTGTTAAATTAAATTTTTTCGGAGGTTCAAATTTTGGTATGATTTGTGAAACACGTAAAGCAGCTGGTAAATTATCCATTTTATATTCAGATAACATAGCACGTTGTGCGGCATTCAATGTACTATTTTCAATATCAGATTTCTACATAACAAAAAAAAAAAAAAAAATATTTTATAAAAATTTTATTTTAATAAATTCAATTTACTTTTTCTATTACTGGTAGACCATATATACCGAAGTTATAAATAAGAAATAGATGTAAAAAGTTCAACAATATATGAATCATTTTATCTAGAAAATAAAAAGCTTTTTTTTTGAAATAAATAAAGATGTTTGTTTGTCAAAAAAAAAAAAATAGTAAATAAAATCTTGTCATTAAATTATAAATTTTACTCTTTGTTTCTATGGACGAATTAATTCATCATCACTATTAGTTTGAATTTCTAAAAGTGGATTTTGAATTACATGAATCGATTCTTTTACTGATAATTGTGGTGAATGACTGATACGAAATATTTGTACACTAAAAAGAAACAATAAAGTTATATTTCAAAAAAAAAAATTTAATCAATTTACAGAATGAATATTAATGCAATTAATCTTGTACCAACACCAAAAATAAAAACAGCACCAGCAAAAATATTAATTGATGCTCGATAAATTTGAATACAAGCAACTGTACCCAATAAAAGATCAAGATTTTGAATTAAAGCAACAGAACTAAATGCTTTGCCTAGAAAACTTTCAATCTATATATATATATTAATTAAAATATATTTTTTCATATACCTTTATCTCTTTCTGGTACTAAACGAGCAAGAACTGCTCTTAAACATACTGGAAAATATATACCAAACATCATGGATGGAATAGCTATTGAGAAAAATAAATTCTTTAATATAAGTATTTTCCTCATTTTTTTTTTTTCTACCTCCAAAAATCATGGCTTTATTATTAGAAGCAAATGCAAATAGAATTGGTCCAATCAATGAAAGACATAAACCAATAATGCACAAATAAAGATCATTTATTTTCCATCGTCTTCTTAATAAAGCTAAGAAAATTAATGCTAAACATGTTCCTATTTGTTCACAAGTAAAATAAGCTGCATATTGTGTATCATTAAATGACATTCGATGTAAATATAAATAATAAATTGATGATGAACCCATACGAAAAAGTTCATAGTAAAAAAGTGATAAAAGAAGAATAACAAAAGATAATAATAATTTATTATGTTTTAAATCAATAATTAAATCTCGAGTATCTAAAAATGGACGTTTAACTTTTGTCCAAAGTTTAATTGATGATGAATCTGTTATTGTTCGACTTTTTAAAAAAATAAGACCTATAATTAGAGCAAACACTAATAATACAACATGAACAAGTAATATAAGCCATATTTTAGCATGTAATTTAAATATAAATGTACAAAGAACATAACCAATAACAACTCCGAAATTTAATGATGCTTCAATGATTGCAATAGCTTGAACATGTTGTTCTTTTTCAGTACATATATCAGTAACATAACCAAAACATGAACTAAACGAAGAAAATTATTCTTTTTCATTTATTTCAAAGAAACTTACGACAGAAGAATCAATGTTCCTCCACCAAATCCATTGATAATATTAGCAAAAATATACAATAATAAAGATGTTTTAGTACCTCGAAAAATACTTCCAATAGTAATTACTAAACCAGTGATTATTGCATTTGATATAGTTAAAATAATTGGTAATTTTCGATTTTTTGTATCTGATAAACTTCCATAAATAGGCGAAATAAAACAAGCTATTATTGCAAAAGATAATGTTCCATAGAGAGACCATTGTGAACTTTCTTTTTGAATTAATGTTTGCGATGCACGTAAAGATTTATTATGATCAATTTCAGAACAAAATGACTCATTAGCATGAATAAGACAAACTGTAGAATATATCAAAGAATTCGTTGCACAAAGAAATAAATAAAATGAACATATATAAAGAAAACAAATAAAACAAATTGGTAAAATCACACGAAACCAACGCCAAGATAATGATTCTATCATTATTTTAAGAATGTCAATAAATACAAAATAAAGTTTACTATTTTCATTTTCTTAGTAGTAGACATTTTTGACTGACAAAGTAAGCAAGAGATTGTATTTGATCAAAAGGTTTACAAATGAAATGGAAATGCTGATAGAGGGCAGGCAGTTGACAAAGTATTCTTTGAGTTCTATCACATTGAATGCAGAAACTACTAAGAAACACAGTGAGTTTATTTTTAAAATGATAGTGAGATTTCTAGAATATTAGTATTCAAACGCTTATTGGCCATGATATGTATATGTTATGGGCAAAAGTGAAATTCAGTCAAGTTTGAAATTTGCCCAGTCAAAATTAAAATTTCAATTTCGACTAGGCAAAATTGAAATTTTAATTTTGACTAGGCAAATTTCAAATTTGACTGAATTTCAATTTTGCCCATAACATATATATATAGATTATTTTAATTGATCCCCATATTTTTGATTATCATTAATATGAAGATGATTATTAATAATATTTTATTTATTTTTAGATCAAAAAAAAACAAAATGACTTTATCATCATCTATATTGTTAAATCATCTTCGTGATTTAATGAAATCAAAAATTTATTTTAAAGATATTATTGATGCTTATATTGTACCAACAGCAGATCCACATCAAGTTAGTTTTTATTTTATTTTTAATTTTTTTTTGTAAATTTTTCTATTAAGAATAAATATGTTGTTGATCATTATAAACGATTAAAATTTATTTCAAAATTTACAGGATCTAATGGTAAAATGTTTTTTTTTTTAATTCTTCTAAAAAATTTCCATTTGAATAGGTACAGCTGTGATAACAGATAAAGAAGCTTTTCTTTTCATTGATAATGATTATTTTCTTCAAGCTAAACAAGAATTAGATCAAACATGTTGGAAATTGTTGTGTAATCAAATGAACGATAATTGTTCAATAATAAATTGGCTTGCAAAAGTAAATCAAATTTAATAAATGACTTTTTTTTATTAATGTTATTTTATTAATAATTTAGGATTTGAAGAAAAATTCAATAGTTGCTTGTGATCCTCAACTTGTTTCTATTTTTGATTGGAAAGAATGGAAAAAAATACTTTTACAATCTAATATAGATCTTATACCTCTTGAAATTAATTTAATTGATCTTTTATGGAATAATCAAAGACCATCATTATCTGATACATCTATTTCTATTTCTAACAATGAACTTCAAAATTCTAGTAAGTTTAATTTAACTACCCACGGAAAAATTTTTCAAGAAAAAACCGCGAAAGTCAGACCTTTTATGCGGTTTTTGGAAACCGGCGAAAACCGCGGTTTGCAAATACCGCGGTGAGAACCGAGAAAGGCGCGGTCCGAGCTGAGTTTTTGCAGGTCTAACCGCGGTTTTCTCGGTTCTCATCGCGGTTTTCGCTGGTTTCCAAAAACCGCATAAAAGGTCTGACTTTCGCGGTTTTTCAAAATGTGGAACAAAACCGCGGTTAACCTCAGATTACCCCGGTTTTTTTCGGAAGAATTTTTCCTTGGGTAAATTAAAAAAAAAAAGAAGTATATTCTTATATATAAAGAAGAATCAATTAGTAAAAAACTTCATCAAATACGATTAAATATGAATAAATCTCAAGTTCATCATTTGATTATACATCAAATGGATGTTATTCTTTGTATGTATGCTTTTGTTGTTTATATTTTGAATTTTATTTATTTATATTTAAAGGGTTATTCAATTTATGTCTTGTTAATATTCAATTTAATTCAGTTCTTCTTTCATTTGCTATTATTGGATATAACTATGTCAAGTAAATTTATCTTTATTTTTTTTTATCACAAAAATTATTTTCTCTTAGACTTTTTATTGATTTAAATAAATTATCGGAATCTATTCATGATTATGTTCAATATGAAGATGTTTTCGTATATCCTTATGATTCATTTTATAATGAATTTAAAAAAATGATTGAATCTATTGATTATAATGAAAAATTTTGTGTAAGTAATTAAATATTTAAAGCAAAGATTTTAATTAATTATTCATATAGGTATCATCAACATGTAATTATGCTATACATATCTTAATATCTCAGGTAAATTTAACAAACAAAAAATTAATAAAATAAAATTTCTTTGTTTTTAAGAAACAATTTGTCATTAAAGATGATATTATTTGTCGATCAAAAACAATAAAAGATTCATTTAAAATTGAAGTAAGAAAAATAAATTATTTAATTAATCATCTCTTCATATTCCTTATTATACTATCTAATTTTCTCATAAGAAATTCACGAAAAAAATCTAAAAATATGCTTTTTTTATTAAAGACAAGTAGTGTTTTATACACTTCGATTTATTTGACAATTTAATACCATAAAAAAAAAGAAAATCTTTCTCAAATGAAACGAGAATAATAAAGTTAAGCGAAGGAAAATTATTGAAAACATTTAATTTAGAATTAATATATAACATATATGATAAAACTAAAGGAGTAAGAATAGAGCAAGACATAGTAAGTCACTTTTGCATCATAGATGCAAAATCTGCTAGAGGTTTTCCTCAGCACGCATGAAAATGCAAAAAATTCTGATAAATAGAGTATTTCGAAACTTAGTTACGTATTTGGAATAAATACAGACAAAATATGAATATCAATCGCAATATGAGACAAAATATTGAATCAAATAAAATCACAATGTTTATAAGAATGTCAAATTTTTAATATTGTAGTCGAAAAGAACCATATATCTTTGACTTATATGCTTTTTTTTTAAGAATGATTCTGATCATGATGAATTAGTTCCATGGTCTCGGCCTGATCTTCTTGAATCACCAAATATCACCAAGAGACAATCGAATATTTCTTCAGATATAATAATTGATTCAAGTAAGAAATATGAAATAATAAATTGTATTGAGATTTCAATTAATTTAAAATATTTTTATTGATTAAATCGAAAATAAAAAATTTATTCTATTTCTAATAATTTATTTCATTCATATGGTATTTCTCTACATCCTACACATTTGTTTATTCTGTCTTATTTTGAATAAAAATTTACAAAAAAAAAATTATTTTCTATTTCATTCTTGAGATTAGAGAAAAAGTCAAATCATACAGAAAAACAAACAAATAGATTAATTGTATTTTAAAATTATTTTTTATTTTTAATAGATTTTATTGATAAGATATGTCAATATTCTCTAAAAGAAAACGATTTCAGCTAGTTTTTTAATATAAGATTTTTATTTTTAATCATCTGAGAAGTTTATAAACGACAAGAGGAGAAGATTCGATTTAGTCAGAAGAGTTTTCATCTTATACTTATCTCTTGGTTTTTTTCAAATTTAAAATTGACAATTCGATTCTTTATATTATATAAAGTTTTTTTTTTTAGTTGATGTTAAAGCATTTGGATTAAATCAAAAATTGTTTAATATATGGTTTAAAAACAATATTCAACAATTGAAAATTAATGAAGATAATCATGATAACATTGAAGATATTTTATTTCTCTATATTGATTCAAATGAAGATGATAATCATATTGGTAAAATTATTGTACCTGATTATAAAGAAAAAATAACAAATATTATTTTCAACAAAAAATTAAATCCACATGGTTATGGGTACAAACAAATAATATATGATATTATTAAAGATAATATGTTTATTAAACTTCCTTATCATCCATTTGAAACCAAATTGAACAAGTGGGTTCAACAAGATTATCATACATATGGTGGTCAATGTCGTTCATTAAAAGTTTTATTAATAAATGAAGATGCTGATAATGCAAGTAAAAATAAACATGTACATTCGTTATGGAGTGAAGATAATGAAAAGAACAAAGAATTTTATACATTCTATCATGGTTGTTCAGAACATGCTGCACATTCTATATGTTTAAATGGTTTAGGTTTACACTGGAATCATCCGAAAGGTACTGATTTTGGTCCTGGTGTTTATGTTACAAAAAATGTACTTGATGCATTAGTCACTGCTGAACGACGAACACTATTCCGAATATCAAATGAACCTGAAAATCGACCAGCTTGTGTTGTATTTCAATGTCCAAAAGATGAATTCAATCGTTTTTTAATTCTCAAACTTAACAACAATAATATCAATTTGAATCATGATAGGTATGTATATTTTGTTAATTTTTTCTCCATTTATCATAATTCGTAGTTGAAAATAAAAATCTTACTTTGAATATCTAAGATTAATTGTAGACTATAATCTATGTAAGTGTCAATCATACAAATTCTTGAAAAATTTATGAAATTTTATAGACTAACAAATTCAAAAGTTCTCTAAAACGAATTTCAAGGCTTTTACATAATAATTTATTATGAACAATTAACAAATGTTTCGAAACAAAAATCTTTAGAAACTAAAAAGTTATGTTCATATAGTCATTAGATTTCTAAATAGACTTTACATACAATAATTATCTCTTAAGAAATTGCTATATTCAAAAAAATACTACCTAGATTCTGAGAATACTTTTCTAGATTTTTCTGATTAGTTTCGAAAAAATTAATTATTTATAAATATATGACAAGCTTCTGAAATATGTGTCGAGAGGTTCTTCTCAACGATTCCCGAACCTATCTGTTAATTTGTAAGCAAAAATGATCAGATATTTTTAACCTTTTTTTTTTTGCATGAGAAAACTATTAATTATTCTGTTCATTTTAGACCTCCAATTACTACTATGGATATTACAGAAGATCAAATATTTGAATGGCCTAATTTCGTACATCTATGCCATCATCGACGATATCCATTACCACTTGTTGAAGATTATGATAGTATAGAAGGTTATATATGTAATAATATATGTCAAGTGCAAGATAATACTCATGCTCCAAAATGTAATTTACATACATGGCAATTGTGTGTAAGAAGCGTCGGTTTTGCTAAAAAATTTACATCTTGGATTACGGGTATTATTCTTCTTCAAATACCTGATTCATCATCAACGTCTTCAACAACAACAGTTTCTCATCAAAAATAATTAATTAAAATTTATAAAAAAGAAAAAAAAAGAAATTTTATTTGAATTATGAAAATAAACCAATTCATATTCTATTAGAAGATGTTGAAGGTGGTGAAATTAAGACAGCTGATATAGATTTTGAACGACGCTGAAATGATCTCGGAAAAAATAGGGGAATTGATCTCGGAGTGCTTAATTAGTCCAGAAAATGATGAAATTAATCTCGTTTTTTTCCGAGTACAAATTATAAGGAAATGATCTTGGAAAAAACCTTATTAACGTTGAATCAACAAAATTAGAGGAAAAGATCTCGGTTGGATATAATAAAAAGAAAATGGAAATATAATGTCCCAGTTTATGTGTTTACTAATAAACAGAGAACAGTATTATAACGAAATACAATAATTTAATATTTATTACTATCCAATACAAAATATATAAGAAAAGGTGTATAAAAAAAAATCAGTCTTTCAACAATGAGTATTTGCCATTTCTTTTTCTAATTAACTGTGGAGTTGTTCGAACTCTCCAAATCATCATTAGACCTGTTGAATAGATACACGAAGATTGCTTCAGATTAAATTTACACGAACAGAATATTGGAAGTAACATGTTAGAAAAATTTAAAATTCGTGCTGAATTCAACCAGTGTTTAAAATGATCCTACGATAACCAAGACATTGAATAAAAATAATGTACCCAAGTGCGAGTAATCATTTGAGGCTCTGCTGGTGGAACCACAAATGTAAATGCATCTAATTATAATATTTCGCTTCTATCAACTTTATGAGTCCGATCATAAGCTTTAATGTTCACATCAGCATCCATGTTTAAATGTATTTGAAATGGATGCTGTACTGTATTCATTGACCAATCGCTCAACATGTCGTCAGAAAAATCATTTTTACTATTCTGCTCATTCTTTCTATTCATCATATGCACCGCTTTCTATATAACTATATGTGCATATATATGAAAAAAACTGAGATCTTTTTCTCTAATTTATACCTTTCTCTGCTAATGAGTTTTTTTCCGAGATCATTTCCTCATTTTTTTCGAGACAAATTCCATTTTTTTCCATAAATTTTACACAATTGTTTAATTCATTATTTGTACTTTGAAGTAAAATTGATTTAAGTTGTTATTATACTATGATATAAATCATCTGAACTTCATCTTAGTAATCATCATTATTATCGACAAAAGCAGTAGGTTAATAATCATCATCAATATAGATAAAAGAATTATTTTCTTTTTTTTTTATTGATATAGATTTTTGGCCTGTTGGATGTATTTTATATGAATTATTAACACTTGAATTATTATTTCATTCCAAACAAGATGATAATAAAGTCATCATTATCATTTAAATACATTTTCTTGTAAGAAGAAATATTTAAATCAATTTATTTTATCATTTATTTTTTTTTTAGTTATGCAAGAAAATCATAAATTTGTTGCAAAACAACTTAAAACATCAAAATCAGCTTATTTATATTCAAGTATATTGATATTTTGTTTGTTTTGTTTTCTTTTTCTATAATTTACATTTATTTATCTTTTAGAAACCATTCGTTTCATCACAAACACTTCATCTTCCATCAGCAACTTCGATAATAGATTATTAATTGTTTTTTACGTTTCTTTTTTTTCTTTGTATTTGTATGTCAGATGTTAATGAACAAAACCTACATAATTATATTCTAGTGATAGAAGTAAAATATGAAGTTTTTTATTCATAGATTGACAGCTTATTAAGTGAATATGGATTAAAGATCTATAGAGTCAGACATTTTGATTTCAACTCTGAGAAATTTCAAGAATTTTCTCGACTACAATATATACTTGTTTTTATGCCACTTGTTATTGAGCACATTAATCTGATACTTTTTTTGCTGAAACTTATTCGAATGTTCTATGGAAAAATGAACCACTCAATATTTCAATTATATCTTTTTAAATGTTTGTTTATTGAAACTTTATTTTTCAAAAAAATTCATCTTATAATTCTTTTCACGAAATGGTATGTTTTTGTTTTTTGAATCTGGCAGACATAATAATTTTCAAAACACAAGCTTTGAACAAATAGTCCAGAATAAACATTTTTGCAAAACAATATTTTGTCGAATTTTTATGATTATATGTTTTATTTCCTCAATAAAGATATTTTTCGATGCTAGTTTTTTTCTATTCAATACCACAGCCAAAATCATTTCAAATTGAATAGTTCAATGGTTCATGTTTTTTTTTTTGTTGATGCAAAGAGATAAAGCTTTTCAGACATCATTATTGTGTTGTTGCAGTGATAGGAAGTTTTGAATTGTCTTAATAAACTGTCCAACCTGTTACTGACGATCTTTTCCGATCACGGTGCATTAGATCATATTCAATAAGTAGATCACATTACTTGAGTATCAATAAAATATGGAAATAAAATATTCGCACTAGATTGATCATTTTATCAGAACCATGTAAAATCTCATGTCATCTAATTAACATATTAATTATCCCAAAAGAACTTTACCTCTTTCAGGATGATCATTTCTCGATCTTTTAATTAGACAAATGCAATAAGCACTAGCTGGGAAGAGGGTCTTTGAACTGGAGATTTTCGTAATTTTATAATTGAAACTTGAGAAATTCATAATATTCAAAAGTTTAAAAACATCTCTGATGTTTTACCCTAGATGTTTTCGCAAATAATTCCAGCTCAGTTGGCCAAAATAAGATTGCAGTTGTAAACAGGCCTGGTGATTTTTGAAAATCACTTTGAAAAGTTTTCGAAAGTTTGCTTTTAAAATTTTTCCCTTGAACATGGGTCGCATGATTTTCAATAATCTAACCGTAGCAAAAATTTAAACCCGATCAGTTGTACTTTAGCAGAGAATCAGAAGTAATACAATTTAGATTGATATAATTCATGTCGTTGAGGGTAGGATAAGTAAGAAGTGGTTAATAAAATATCGAATTACCGAAGATATTTCACTTTGGTCTATATTTTTATTATTAAATTTCTTCAAAGCGATCATTCGAAATAATAAATCTTAGCCATCCACTAAATTTCTATATTCTTTCTCATGTATTTCTTGTAGGAAAGGTTACTTTATTTCTTATTGGTGAGTCAAAAGTTTGTAATACTCCACTATTTTTTTGTCTTCAAGAATATATGACTCACTGCTGGAAAAAGTCAACAGAAACCAGTCAAAGTGCACATGTTCTTTTCTTACTTCTGTTTGGAAGAAACCTTTTCTTATAAGCAATGCATGTAGTAAATTTTTTTCTTTCTTTCATAAGATGTTTCAAAGGACAGTCAAATAAGAAATAATGTTGACTTGCAACATTATTTTCTCTTCAAAACATCAACACATTTCATAGTTTTTCTTTCACTTGCTGCTGAATAAAAAAATGTCAACAAAAGGAACTCGGTAATTTTGTTTGAATTTGAAATAACATGCTTATTACTACCTACGTAATTTTCAATTAGTGAGGATTTAAATCATGATAAAAATGCTTGCAAAAAAAACTAAATATTGTTTTATTTTTTTATACAGAAACATTTCATTACTAAAATCGTAGTCATATATATGTCTATTTAAGGAATGGGAAAATAATATGTGGATTGTGCAAGGAACCTATCGATGAAGCCAAATATCGTACTCATGTTGCGGAATGTGGACTGCTAGATAAAGATGAAGAAGTTCAACCAGTATTGAAAGTTTGCGCTTTGTGTGGAAAAAAAGTCACAGACTTAACTGAGCATTATGAAACATGTACAGGTGGAGATAACTCGACAAACAACATGTATGAAAATCGGCAGAGGTCAACAATTACATCAGTAAGATCAAATATCAAGTTCACCTTCCGTTTGCTTTAATACTAGACATGCAAAACATTCATATGTATATAGTTTTTTATAGGTTATATAATGAGATTGCATAATGACACTCACTACGTTACGTAGAATATAGAACATTTTATGACACTTGATAGAAAAAAGATCACTTGAAAGATGTTTTCGTCAGACTTCGTAATCTATTGATTTAAAAAGGTACATAACACCTCAAAATCTTATTGAAATAAATTCTACATAAATAAAATTGATATTATTGACATATCAATAAATACTTTCCAAACTATGGTGATGAACTAATTATTTAAGTGCTTCTAAACTGTTCAAAAAAGTTTCTTAACATCTATTAAGATTCGCCAACAAGCAACAGCTTATGCTTCAAGTCGAACAACTACTAAAGAATGTCCTATATGTTCAGAAATGATTGTCGAAGACGAATACGTAAGTCATATAGATAAATGCGCTACTAGATCGTCGAAGCAACCTACAAACTCGAAGAAAACTAAAGAATGTGTTATATGCTCCGAAATGATTGCCGAAGATGCGTATGCAGACCATATAAATAGATGTGGTACAAGGTCACCAGTGAGACCCAAAAACTCGAAGAAAACCAAAGAATGTGTTTTATGCTCGGAAATGATTGCTGAGGATGTGTATGCAAATCATGTAGACAGGTGTGGTACAAGGTCACCAGTGAGATCAACAAACTCGAAGAAAACCAAAGAATGTATTATATGTTCTGAAATGATTGTCGAAGAAGAATACGTAAAACATATAGATAAATGCGCTACTAAATCGTCGAAGCAACCTACAAACTCGAAGAAAACCAAAGAATGTATTATATGCTCCGAAATGATTGCCGAAGATGCGTATGCAGACCATGTAAATAGATGTGGTACAAAGTCACCAGTGAGACCCAAAAACTCGAAGAAAACCAAAGAATGCATTATATGCTCTAAAGAGATTCCTGAATCTGATCATATCGCTCATGTCAATGCATGTATCTCTGGATCTTCTTCAAGTTCAAAATCGAAGCCAATAACTAGACAAAATCATGCATCATGTTTTACCTGGTAAGTTAATCGTTTATCTCAACTATCTTCATGTTTTTTGTTGTAGTTCATCGGCAGTAGACGTTTCGAAAAATTCAAGTCATACTCTTCCATGT